GGTTTTTTCAATTCAAGCAAAACTTTCGGCTTGATTTTTTCCCAGAAATTACCAGTGGTGAATGGAACAGTATTTTCAACAATTTCCGAAAAAAGAACTTCACATTGTTGAAATATCTTAACGGGAATCTCTGTTCCATTTGGTTTCCACCCTAGAATTTCTGGAATGTTTGTTTGAATGGTTTGTATTTAAAAAATTTAACAGTTTTTGAAGTTTCGGGAACTTCCTAAGCAATTTTTGAAATCATTTTTCAACCGTTTCCAAAGCTGCGGATGTTTTTTGCTGAGTAGGAAGCGCCCGAGTAGGAAGCGCCCGTCACCTTCTTATATCTAAACAGTCATGTTTTGTATTAAGAACTAAAGTTGAAGCGCGCACGATGGTTTGTCATTTTTCAAACTGTTCAAGTTAATTCTTAATTTGAATCGCGGTATCCAAATTAATAAATAATTTGGACAGTTCCGTGTGCAGTGCATTAAACAATTGACTATGAACAGACTCAACGAAACCTAAAAGAGGAACTCCTGGGCCGGGTTGTTCAAAGCCTGATGAAGTTTACCCAGGNAAGCTGCGGATGTTTTTTGCTGAGTAGGAAGCGCCCGAGTAGGAAGCGCCCGTCACTTTCTTACATCTAAACAGTCATGTTTTGTATTAAGAACTAAAGTTTAAGCGCGCACAATGATTTGTCATTTTTCAAACTGTTCAAGTTAATTCTTAATTTGAATCGCGGTATCCAAATTAACAAATAATTTGGACAGTTCCGTGTGCAGTGCATTAAACAATTGACTATGAACAGACTCAACGAAACCTAAAAGAGGAACTCCTGGGCCGGGTTGTTCAAAGCCTGATGAAGTTTACCCAGGATAAGCGAAAATTTTGCGGTGAGGTTTTCTGTTTATGTTGTTTGGCCTTCTGAATTTGAATAATCTCAAACTACAAACAACGTACGCAGTGAGTAAACTTTTCTTCAGCCATTTTAAAGCGAAGAAATGAAAAAAAAAAAAAAAATTCAAAGGAATCGTATGCGAATTTTTTTCTTTATGAGCCGTGAAAAGGAGTACAAAAGTTACAAGTACGAAGACAGCCGAGGGCTTCACGAAAACGTTTCCTAAATGACCGCTTCTGACTGTTTCTGCGTCAGTAAGTCGTTTGAGGGGCAGGTTTTGGATCTAAACACACACATTATTTCACTTGGGAAATGGCCGAGGAGTTCGCTCGCTGTTCGGCGGGCATTATTCGTTGTTTTTTCCCTCGTTTTTTGTCCAATTGCCGGCTTGCAACGTTCAAAATGCATAGAGAAGTTACAAATCGTTGGTACCGCGTCTTTCTTGAGTACAAGTCGACGAGGCTTATCAGAGGGTCCCAACAAACTCCCTACCGCAAGATTTTGTTCAAAGCTGTCTTCGGTTAAGTGTTCTGCGCAAACGCGCGAATGTTTCGAGGGCGTAATGTATTCTCTTTTCATTTTTATAAGCCATCGATGCTCTTTTCAGTTTTGGGTCCTGGGGGAACTTGAGCTAACTTTGGATTTTGAATGCCTGTGTGGTTTTCCTTTGAAGTTCACTGTAAACTTGAAAACAAAACAGTTTCAAATTTCTCGTGTTTCTTGAGCTCACTAACAGTGACGTCACAAGTTTTATTTCCGACAATTATCCCGACTGCTCCACGATTATGAAGGATAAAAATCAGTGATTTTAACATTCCAATATCTCTGCAGTGCTTCGTCCAATTTGTTTGAAACTTCAGAATATGTTTATTTTATACTTAATTAATACATTGGACTCAAGTGAAAGAAATGTCTAAATTTTGGTTCATTTGACCTTTCAGTTAACCTGGATTGAGCCCGCGATCTAATCGGAA